ACGTGGCATGCCTGAGAAATTTGGGGTGATGCTCACTGCAGGACAGGTCCACACTAGTCTGGGTGATCCACCACGGAGCTGCTCTAGGTGCAGAGCTGTGATGGGAAATAAATGCCTCAGAAAAGTGGCTTGCTCCACAAAACAGCAGCATTTTGCTCCCCTCTCCTTCCACCCCGGGTTGCAGGCTGCTTCCTTCTCAACTCAGCAGCCCCAAGAAGCAAAAATCCAGCAAAAAGGACATTTGAGAACCCACTGCAGCTCCCCAAGATCCCCATCAGCTTCCATCTCTTCATGCACCATCACTCCTTGCCCTCAATCCCCCAAGCTGGGTTAACTTCAGCAGAGTGAATCAAGGTTAGTCCCCATCTAAATGCACCCCTGTTATTTTATATTCAACCTTCTACTTCACCCTGTTCTTTTAAAAGTAAAAGCTGTGCAGAAAAACACCCTCTCCCCACTTGGTTTTCCACTCTCCCCTTCCCAGAAGGGGCTAAGAAAGAAAAACTTCCAAGCCCATTTCAACTTGGAATAAAATAAACCCCCCTCAGATTCCCCATGGTTTGTGTCTCTTCAGTTGGACCCCCAGTCCCTGGGAAGCTCCACAAAGTCCTTGAGACCCCAACAGTGTTCCCCCCACACTGGATCCTTGTCTCAGGATGGAGGAACACTGCAGCAGGGTGTGTGGCCAACAGTTTTCAGCTGATGGTTTGGCAACCCCAAAGAGCATTGCTTGAATGTCATTCTGGGGTGTGTGAAGGGGTTTTCTGGCCCTTTTACACACAGACAGGGAAGCCCAAGTGAAATTTAAGCTATAAAATGCTCCTGTTAGGTAAGAAAGTTGTAAGAACATGAAGCTCCTTTTCCACTGGGCAGCCAACAGGTTTCAGAGCCTGGTTGAGCCACAAAGCAAGTCTGTTAGAGATGACTAAAAGCCCTCCAAGGAATATGCCTTAGTCTTCTCTGAAACCCAAAAAAGCTTTAATAAGAAGCTCCCTACCCTTACAATATATTCTTTCACTGGCTGGACCTTTCATTCATCAACCACACAGAGTACAGCATGAAACCCAGAGGTGACATCACACCACAACTTACAGACAGACCTCCAAACAAAGGTGGGACTTGAAAACTCCCCATTTTTTTTTTTGTTGTTTGAATTTGATTTTTAGGTTGAGACATTTCAATCTCTTTCTACCTTCTGGAAGGTATTAAACAGCCAAGCAGACAGTTCCCTGAGTGTTCCTTGTAGCTGGGGTGGAAGTTTTTAACAAGCCCCTTCCCTCCTTCCTCACCAGCAGCCAGGTTTTAACTCACCAGCTGGACATAGGCCACCTTGTAATCTGGTTTCTTCACCCTGTGGTTCTTGTGGTTCCTCTTGTTGTTTGCACCTGGAGAAATGAAGAGAGTCCCAACTTTTACCTCCCAACACTTCTGAGCTCCCCTCAAGCTGAGGTGGGGGGATTTTTGCTAGTCCTGGTTTATTCTTCCAAGGAATGTTCTTCCTTCAGGAGCAGCACAGCACCACTGTCACTAAAATGGGCTGAAATTGGTGGAGGTTACTCTCCTCAAGTAGGGAAATGAGGCATCACCCAGCTCAGGCTGCTGACAGCCACACAAAGCTTGCCAAGGGATAAAAAAAACCCCCTCCCAACACCAAAAGCTTCAGGGAGACAAAAGCAGCCACTGAACAGCTTCAAACTTGTCCATTTTTACCACCCTGACCTGGACCTACTGTTTACACACCAGGAAACTGCACTCCACAGCCAAAAAATCACCTCAACCTTCTGCAGGGATGCTGGTCTCAGCTGAGAGAGAAGCTCAGTTCATCCCCTTCATGTCAGGAAGATGTTAAAGCTCCCAAATTCTGAGGCCAAGCCTCTCCTATCCCTGAATATTTCCATTCTACCATCATTTCCATTAGCAGTGGGGGATGAAGTGGTTCTCAGGGCAAGCATGAATGTTTTTCAGTGCTCTCTGTTTGGTATTTAGGACTTTATTTACTTTAGATAATTATCTTAGAGATGAACTCTCTCTCTTTTTAGATCTTCTGAGTTTTACAGGCTTATTCTGAACCTTTCCCTTCCATTCTCTGTTTTTCATTATTACAGCTCTTTTCTCCTCTCCCTTTTTTTTTTAAACTCATCCCTGCTCTTACCCTTCTAAAGACATCAGTTAGTTCCTCTCCCAGCAAAGGTGTCCCAACCAACAAGTCCCTCCTCACTGCCTGGTTGCTCCAAAAGCTAAATAACTGGAAATTTAGATTCCTGGCTCAGCACTGCAGCCACCCTGGCTCTGGGGGAGGAAGGATTCAAAGGCCAAGGTGACAGTAGAAAAATTTAGCTTATTTCAGTTAAAAGATGGGACCCCCTGCTCCAAGTCAGAGTTCAGCAGAGCTTGAAGTAGAAACATTTCTTCTTTTTCTCTGGGTTAGTTTTATGTTGATTTTTTGTGGGTTTATTTTTTTTGGTAGGGGTGGCCCAAGGATGAAACCCCAGGAGTGGGAGCTTAAGTCTGTAGCAGAAATGTGGTGATGAGAGATGAGGAATTGAGAGTTTCTCAAGATGTTTTAATAATATTATCTCCTTGCCTAATGAACTATCTTCCTTTTCTCTCTAAACTTTGCCTTTGGTGAGGCCCTAACACCTCCTTTGTGTGTACCCCAGCTAATCCCAATCCAAATTATTCTAAGGCTATGGCTGAAATTAGCCATCAGTTTAACTGCTAATTAATTACTAATCTTATTAAAACATGAAGCAGTTGCTTCTGAAGTGAGACACTCCCTGATCTTCAAGGAGAAACCAGCTACAAAAGCCCCCAGCACAAGCCAGATACAACTCTCAGGAGGACATGACTTTTTAAACCCACCTTTTCCCTTTTAAAACCAAACTCCTGCCCTAATCTAACCAAATCATTTCAATATGAAGGGGTGCAAAAGGAAAAATAAACAACTACAATGACAAATGTCCCCAACTAAGCACCTGGAACTAAATTTTGTTGGCATCTAAGGGGCCTTTGGGTGGGAATTCTGTTCAGGGGTGCTGAGCTCCTCTCCCTGGATCCCTCAGCTGCACTCACCATACTGGATCCTCGTCCTCACAGCAGCTACTGGCACATTGTATATTTTTTCAAGGTAATTCTTGACATCCACTCTGGTCATTCTGGGCAATGCAAATAGATTTTGGGGGGGAAAAAAAAGAAACAGAAAAAAAAGTGTCAATATTTGAATAAAATAGAACTGAGCTGGAGTATTTATAGAGTGGTTGATAGTCTGGAATTCATAAATCTTCTTAACCCAGGGAGCTTTACTACAGAAAAGTATGAGGTCAGCACAGGTCATACACTGCTGTAGCAATTAATTATCCATAAACTGGAAAGAGGAGAAATATTTTACCCTCTGCAGCTTCAACAGTCAGAACCTGAGCTATATCCTGTATCTACACAGGGCTTTGGAAGTTCTTCCCCATGAGAGTGGTGAGACCCTGGGATGGGTTGCCCAGGGAGGGGGTTGAGGCCCCATCCCTGGGGGTCTTTAAGGCCAGGCTGGAGGAGGCTCTGGGCAGCCTGATCTAGTGGGAGGTGTCCCTGCTCATGGCAGAGGGGTTGGAACTGGGGGATCCTTGGGGTCCCTTCCAACCCTGACAGATTCTGATCTGTTTTAGCAGAGGACTTTAGAGCCCTAATGGCTCAATGGTTGGACTTGATGATCTTTAAGGTCCCTTCCAACCTAAAGGATTCTATGAAGAACCCTTTCCAACCTCCTGAACAGCAGCTCCTCAACTTTCTAGGACCTCCTCCAAGCTGATGGGCTTTGGTGTGTGCAACCAGATGGGTCAGCTTGAAAAGAATCCTGAGCAACACCAAGACCTCGGCTTGTTTGATGGGAATCACCTTCCCAAGCACCCCCTTCCCCTTCGACCCGTTGGGCCTCACGGAGAGAACAGCAGCCAAGCAAAGCTGGGACTGAAACAAGCGACCTGGCCGGTGTCTGAACCGCCTCCCTGCTACCAGGGACCCCCCCGTCCTCATCCCCGTCCCCTCACTCACTCCATGGAGACGCGGAACTGGACGGTGTCCTCAGGCTGGGGCACGCCGGGCCTCACCGCCAGCATGTAGAAGTTCGGCCGGAAGATGCGCAGCTGCGGGCCGCCCAGCTGGTACAGCGGGTACCTGCGGGGACAACACGCCGGTGAACGACACGCCGACGGACCCCCCGA